TCCTCAGATGGTCTTTCACCTGGATCTGCCCCACTGTGGCCCCAGGTCCAGTAAGCCAGGCTGGATGACTGTCCGGTCCCTTACGTGGCTTCTGCTGCCCTTACAGCTACCACAAGCCCACCCCTCCCCACGTGGCTCTGCCCATCTTCACTCCAGGCCCCCTCTGCGTGGAGACGAGAACAGCACAACCCTGGTCCTCACGGCTTCTGGCTCTGACCACTGGAAAGTGGTGGATCTGACACTCTCTCTCGTCCCAAGCGCAAAACTCAGCTCAGCACAGACGCCATTCCTGGCCAACCAGCCGTGACCCAGGAGCTCCCTCCGGGGAGGCAGTGCTGAAGGAGTGCCGTGACTGTCCTTGGATGCTACACAATGGACACGCAGACAAACTTGCGGTCTTTGTCAAGTCTATGGCATTTTCCAATTAATTTGAAAATAACCATGTCATACAGATAACTAGTTGCATAATGGTTAAAAACTAATTGAACATATTTCAATTGGCCAGTCAAAACAGCAACGAGAAACTATGTTATATATGTTTTTATTGGGTCTAAAATAATTATTTGTGGAGTAAAACGCTCTGGTGGTTTCAACTAATTGATTTTTATCACGGCACAAGTGCAGGAGCTGGGATCCATAACACCCGCCACTCACCTTTTCAGCAGGTAGAACGCGTCAGCACTGCTAAGCACTTAGGGCTGGTGGCTGGCAGGAGCCATGAGAGGACAAGAGAGAATAAATTAAGGGACTCAGGCAACAACTATCCAAAGCTGCTAATGTTACAAAAAGAAGCCTAACAGAACATTTTCGCTGCCTGGCAGACACACATGGCAAGACCTGCCATGCAGTTTGGGCAATAAACAAACAAACAAACAAACAAACAAACTGGAGTTTGATCAGCTCTCCAGATCCAACAGTCAATTTACAGGAATGACAGGGGACTGGGGCGGATGCCATAGGAATCCAATTTGTAAGAGGAGCTGTGGAAACCTGCACATGACAGATGACCCTCTTCCTTCCATGGATAAGTTGAAGCAGGAAAAAAAAGAGGGTGACATGGAGCCTGCAGATTGAGAGATCCAGGAGGCCCAGCCACCAAGCCCACAGCAGAACCTCCTTGGGTTTTCAATTCAAGAAAAGGCACAGGAGGAAGAAAATCCCCTTGCAGTGAGGGAAACCTGAAAGTGGAGTGAAGAGATGAGAGCAGGGAACTAAATTCTCAGGTGTGACAATGACGCTGTGGTTAAGTTTTTTTTTTTTTTTTCTAAAGAATCCTTCAATTTTAGTGATATGACATCTGTGATTTGCTTCTAAGTAACTCCAGGAGGTGGAAGGCAGAACGGGGATGCAGATGAAACAAGGGTGGCCATAAGATGATGACTGTGGACATAAGGTGATGGGTCCATGAATGTCCACTACTCTGTTTTTATGTTTGAAATTTTCCATAACAAAAAAAAATGTTTTTAGAAAGTAACCATGTTCCTTGCAGAAAATTTGGTCAATAAAGACAAGTATAAAGTTAATAATAATAATAAAAAAAAAGTCTCATAAATCTTGCCACTCAAAGCTACCGCAAAGGGAAGTTTTGAAACTATTCAAGTGCTCAAGACTTCCTACAAAGGGACTGGGGAAAGGGCTGCAGAGGAGGAGGAAGAGCAAAGAAGGGCCGTGAAAGGGTATTTCAAGTTCACCAGTCATATCTAATTCAAATTCTGAATTAAGTGGTGTCAAAGACTACACACGCACACGCACGCACACACACACACACACACACACACACACACACACTATGTAACCTAAGAACACTGCCACATTTCAGGAAACAAAGCCAAATCTATAACAATGTTTTGCCCCTATAGAAACTACAAGTCCACTTAGTCATCGATTTGTTCATTCAACAAGTATAAGTGAGTTGCTGTTACTGCTTGCCAGTGCCTGCACCGAGGCTAATTAAAGGTGACAGATTCTCAGCCCGAGCCTCAAGGAGAGAGCTTAGGGGCTAGAAAAGTGCTACCACTCAGACACATGCAGTCCTGCCAAGCCCACCTGAAGTCCCACTAAGGCCACCTGAAGAAGCTACTGAATCACAGCTGACGCATGCTCCTTTGGGCCTAGCAGCTCTGGTGTGATTTTCTACCACAGGGTCAGACTCTGCAGTGCACCAAGTTCAGCTCTGAGCAGTGTCGCAAGTTGTTTCCCCCCGCCACCACCAATAATTTAAAATGTGGAAGATTGGAAAAGTTATACTTCTAGTAACAATTGGGGGTGAAGTCTGGTTTTCTTCCCAAGTGGGAGGTGCACAGGGGAGTGCATGCAAATGTCACCCAGGTGGCTGTCACCTGTCCTAAGGATGGGGGAAAAGGAGGCTAAGGACAAGACTGCTTTGGGAATCAATACAATGCAAAACCAGCAATACAAAACCATTCCGTCCACTCAATTCACATATGTTCAAGTCAATAAAACTCCAATGCCATGAGAGAGAACTTGCAGCTAAGGCAAAGAAATTCATAGCTTCAAATGTTAATGGCAAAAGTGGACACAAAAGCCCTAGGGAACAGACATGGTGAGTGTTGCGGTGACTTTAGTCAGTAATGCATTTCCCATTCAGAGTGAAAATGTTCACAACCCACTTCCTTGCTCTGAATTCATTGAAATTTCTTGATTATTTTCAATGTGATCGTCCTAAGAAACCTGACCTAACTCTTAAACAGAAATTCACAACATCCTGTTCCATATACGCGATTACTTAGCTTCCTAAAGGAAAAGAGAATGCACACCCGCTGGAACTGTTCAACTATTGTTAACAGGCTTCAGCGGTTTGCAGAACAAATGTCTTTTCTCTAGGAGGGCAGACACGGGCATCCGCTTACTAGTTTTCCTCCTGCACCCTGGTTCTGTTCTACCATTTGCGTCTCTGCTAACACGGATGGTGCTCAGAAGTACAGTTGAAATCAAATAAATACAGACAGCACAGTGGGGCGGAGTACTTGGTGCACGTCTAAAGCACAAACTCAGTGGCCACACATTTCCTGATAGCTAATCCAGTGCTCCCAAACACACCCACTGAGATACCAATTCCTTGAAGTACAGATTTTGAGGCACTGTGTGCACCAATAAACTTTCAAAAATAATAGACTTGAACTGGCCAATTTGGTAGATGACCAGGAGGACCCTGTGGGTTGAAACTTTCCCCTGTTATGGAGAAAACACGAGTATGAACACCTCATTCAAGATCCAGTAACTGGGGCAGGTGAGGGGTGGCTAGGGCAGGAAAACCTGAAAAGAGGGCTGTAGAATCAGAGCTACATGAAGGTACAGAGACAGGCCTCTAGGGGCCTGGGGGAGGTGGAAAGCAGTGTTTACCTGTCATTTTCTCACTGGAGGAGTCTGGGCCAGGGACACCTTTAACATGGCAATGGACCCAGTGTGTAGGTTATGAGAGAGGAACAGAACTGTTATCTGCCAAGTCCTGACTTTACAAGTGCACACCTTTCAGGTTTGGAAAATGAAGGTGTACTTTCCCTCTCACACCCTAAGTTGGGGTGAGTCACTGTTGATGTTGAAAATCATTCAATAAAATGTCTACAACAAACATGCCCGACCCTAAAAGGGGAGCAGTTTAAAGAAAGAAAGGCAAGGCCTGGGAGTTAGTCCAGCAAAGACTCCCTGGATTCCAGTGCTCCTGAATGTGTTATGAGACAGACAGACGACTCTTTTGAGTGTACACAACCGGCACTGAAGGGTACACACACTAGTGAGGGGTTGGAGGCAATTACGGAATAGAAAAAGAAAGTGCAGCAGAGGAAGTGAGTAATCTGCCAGGCTTTCTCCTAAAGCACAGACTTCAAGTCCCCGAGGTCCCCTGAAGTCCCCAAGAGCTGAGGGAAGCACATGGGGTGGGGAACTTCGGGGCAGGGAAGGGGCAGTGCACCAATCAGATGGTCAGTGGTCTAACAGGACTCTGAAACAAGGGTCCCAGTTCTGGTGGCTAAGGCCTCCCATTCCCTACTACCTCTGACCTCAGGTTACACTGAGGCACTCATTTCCTGTCCTGGCCCCTCCCTGCCCAGCTGACCCTTGGCTTCAGACCTGCCCCTAACACAGRGACTATGGGATGGGGATCCCATCCAGGGACCACTGGTACCAGGCTGTCCCCTCCAGGACAATCACGGTCTGGGGTGGGGAAGGGTGATATGGGTGATCCAGACCTGGGGCCTAGAGGTATTATCCTGAAGTCAAGACGGGGAGGGCGTGGAGAGTGACCTCAAGACCCAGGCTTAGCTGGGGTGACACTGGGGGCCTGGCAGGAGTCAGGGTCAGGAGTGTACCTGGGGATCTAGGTTGTCAAGGGTCCAGAGTGACCACAGAGACTAAGACAAGTGGAGGTTGAGGTTGATCACAGTGGTTGAGACCTGGGGGTAACTGGGGTCGGGCTGATGCTGGAGACTCAGGCTGAATACTGTCAGGGGTGGTCCCAGAGGTTCAGTCCTGATGAGGTCAGGGGTCGACTCTGGGAGTTCAGACTAGGTGGAAGTGTGTGTGTGTGTGTGGGGTGACTCCAAGGATTCAGGCCTGATGGGGTGGGCGTGGGGGTAACCCTGAGGTTCAGGCCAGTATGGGGGCCCCCGGGGATTCAGATTGGGCAGGGTCATAGCCAGGGTGATCTGGGGGGTAACCCTGGGGATACGGGCCTGGTGGGGTCACAACGGGGGTTAACCCCAGGGATTCAGTATCTGGGATGATCCTGGGGGGATTCAGGACCAGAGGAATTGGGGTCCGGGGTGATCCCTGAGATTCAGGCCTAGCGGGGTCGCAGCGGGGCTAACCCCGGGGGTTCTGACCCAGTGGGGGTCGACGTCGAGGATGGTCTCCGGGGTTCAAAACGGGAGGGGTTGGGGTGGTGCCGGGGGCTCAGGGCCGGCCCTGGGGGTTCAAGGCGAACGGCGTCGCGGCGGCTACGACCCCGGGGGTCCGGCGGGGCGGGGCGGGGCGGGACTCACTGCTTGGGCAGCTGCAGGGCGGGCGCGCCGCGCCGCTGGAAGGCCCCGTCCACGAAGACGCCGTTCTTGCCGAGGCAGCGCAGGTAGAAGTGCGGCTCCTGGAAGCTGAGCTGCAGGTGGCGCCGCGAGATGAAGCTCGACAGGCCCATGCTCAGGTCCACCGAGCCCTGCGACGAGTTGCGGCCGATGGTGACGCTGGTCTGCCGCATGAGGAACTCGAACTCGCGGCCCTCTAGGCGCGCCAGCGCCGGCCCCGGGCTCTGCCGCACCGAGGCCGCCGCCGCCGCCACTAGCGCCGGCGCCGCGCCCGCGGGGGCGCCGGGCGGCAGCGGCAGCGGTAGCGGCGGCGGCGGCCCGGGCGGGGGCTGGGCGGGCGGCGGCGGCGACGCGGCGGGCCCGGGCGCGGGCGGCGCGGCGGCGGGGAGGGCGGCGGCCGCGGCGCACAGCACGGGGCTGCAGGGCGCCGAGCGCAGCGCCAGCAGGGCGCGGGCGCCGCTGTCCTCGCCGACTTCGGCCATGTTCGCGCAGCTCCGAGCGGCTCCGGCGGCGGCGAGGCGGCGCGGGGCGGGGCGCGCGGCGCGCGCGGAAACCCGGGCCGGACGCGGAGCGGAGCGCCGCGCAGCAGCAGCCGCCGGCGGGCGGGGGCCGGGAGGCGCCGCTCCCTCCCCGCTGCGCGCGGCCCCTGCTCGCTCCGGCTCGCAGCAGCGCGTGCCCGTGCCTCCATCCCGGCGACCCCCCAAGTTTTGCCCTAGGGTCACCGGAAAAAGGGGGACATGCCCAAAGGCGTCTCCTGGGACCCGATGACTCCACCTCCCCCCCAACTCCTAAGTGAGTGCCTACTTGAGAACCCCAGTTGAGAGTTTCACACAGTCGCGAAAGATCAAGGTTGAGGGAGGACGCTGGTGATCCAGCCCGACCCCCTCTTGTTCTTTTTGGAACCATTCAACAAATACGCAGGGGACTAAGATGCCTGAACACAGACCTTAGCTGCAAACAGGGAATGGCCACTTTGGGCATTACGCAAATCCCTTTAGGACAGCAGGGTCCCGGTCCTGTATTGTTAATTCAGCCAGGTCCCCCTAAAAAAAAAAAAAAAAAAAAAAGTAGTCTCCTCTTTTAATAACTGTTGAGTATGAAAAAGTAAACACAGCTCCCAGCCGGATGGAGCTTACAGTCTCTTGGGAGTTACAGACACGTTAAAATCAGAGACACAGACTGACACTTGTAAAATTACAACGACCCAATGTTTGGTGGGGGGCATGCTGCATAGCGGCACGCAGGAGGGAGAAGGGAGACCTGACCATCTATGGTGGGAAGCTTCCCTACCTTCTTCCCACCTCCCAGCCACACACGAATCCAAGCACGACGTTATTGAGTATGTGGATGTGAACAGAGGAACTATGTGTTGGGATGCAAGGGACTCATTTTCATGAAGAAGCTGCAGCAACAGACCCTACTTAATTGAGAAGGAATCTCTTCTCTAAGACACATGAGCCAAAGCCCAAAGGGTGAATTGGCGCTAACTGGGGGAGTAGTTGGGAGTGTAGGGGACAGTGTCCAGCCAAGGAACATATGTGCTGAAGATGTGTGCCTTGGAGCAGTGGACGGAAGTCTTCTGTGTGTGGAGCAGAGTGACCAAGTCAGCTGAACCAAATGAGGCTAAGGAGGACTGCAGGACTGTGCTGGGTCCTATATGGATCTGGTTCTCCCCCCCCCCCACAAAAGCATGGAGGGTGTGCACATCCCTGTATTTTAAAATCCACCCACTCTGGCTACCAGGGAGCCTGACTTCACAAAGGGTCAAAGTGATCCATGGGAGGCCCGTTAGGAAGCTGCTGGACTGAAGAGATGGGCTTAAGGAGAGAGATGGAGAGAAGCCAAGGGATTTGAGAAGCATCGAGCTCATACCAAGAGATTCATACCAACATGGTAGGAATATAGGATGGTGTCGCTGCCATGGGAGAAAGTATGGTGGTTCCCTCGAAGTCACACATAGCAGTCCTATATAATTCAGCATTCTACTTCTGAGTATAAATACAAAACAACTAAAAGTTGGATCTTGAAGAGATGTTGGTACACCCACATTCATGGCAGCATTACTCACAACAGCTGAGATGTGGAAGTCACCCAGATGCCCATCCATACCTGCACATCATCCAATGATCTATTACTCAGCCTTAAGAAGGAGTGGAAATTTGACAGGTGCTGTAACATGGGTGAGCCTTGAGAACACGATGCTCAGTGCAACTAAACAGATGCAATAAAAAGGACAGATACTGTGTGATTCCACTTCTGTGAGATCCTAGGGTGATTAGATTCATGAAGATAGAAAGTAGAATAGTGGGTGCCAGGGGCTGGGGAGGGGGAAGAGGAGTCAGTATTTAATAATTTAATATGGACAGACTTTGAAATTGCAGGGATGAGAAAGTTCTGGGATGGATAGTGGTGATATGATAGCTGCCCAACAGTCTGAATGCTTTAATGTCACTGAACTGTGCTCTTAAAAATGGTTCAGTTTGGAAACTTTATATTATATATGATTTACCACAAATTAAAGGCGGGGGAATTTACATAAGGTTACTTCGTCTGGCTCATCTGACGTGACTTGTCACTTTTTTAAAAAATTGTTTTTAATTGTTGATGGACCTTTATTTTACTCATTTATTTATATGTGCCTCACACATGCGAGGCAAACGCTCTACCACTGAGCCACAACCCCAGCCCCTGACTTGTTAACTTTTTAATGGCAGGACCATTTTGTGACCAGAGGCATGTATATGCTTCCAGGCATGTCAGGGCTGACTTAATATTAAATGTGAAGAATTATGCACAGACTGACAAACCTAGATGATTCTTTGCTGAGTAGCAAGAAACTGTATGACAATAATGCCCAGAGATTGCAGCTCACTGTGACCTTGACAAGTCTAGACATCTATTTGTTTGCAATCCTTTTTTCCTTAAAAAGAAAGTCATTGGTATATTGACAACTACCAAAGAGAAGGTAAGAAAGGGGCCAATAAAAAGTCATTAAAACAACCAAAATATGTAAACAGAATTCTTCTTTCACTCCCTTCAGGTCTAGAGGGCACGCTAAAGCTGTCTCACAAAGATGGAGTCCCATAATAGCCAGACTCCTACTATGATAGGCTGACAACTGAAATAGAAAGAAATAATAATAATAGAAAGAAAGAAATAGTCCACTAAAAAATACACAAAAGGTATGAACAGGTACTTCACCAAAGAAGGTATACAGGTGACAGACAAACCTATAAAAAGATGTTCAACATTATTCATGAATAGTGTGCAAATTGAAATCACAACGGCCTATTACTACACATCTGTTAACGTTGCTTAAAAAAACACACAGAGCCGAGACAGGAGGATCGCAGGTTCAAAGCCAGCCTCAGCAACGGTGAGGCTCTAAGCAACTCAGTAAGATCCTGTCTTTAAATAAAATACAAACTAGGGCTGGGAATGTGGATCAATGGTTTAGTGCCCCTGAATTCAATCCCCAGTCCCTCACTAAAAAAAAAAAAACAAAAAACAAAAAAAAAACACCACACACACTCACACAGAACTGATAATATCAACATCTGGAGAGAAGATGGAGCAACTTGAACTCTCACCCATTGCTGACGTCATGCAGAATGGTACTGACCCTTCAAGAACCAGTTTGGCAGTAATATCTTGTATACTACTCTTACTGTAGGGCTCCCAACTGCATTCCAAGGTGTTCACCTAAGTGAAATGAAAACTCAGATTGACACAATGATCTATACATGAATACTATAGTGACTTTATTCAAAATCAGTCACAATGGGAAGCAACTCAACACCCCCTCTGTATCTCAGCTAGGGAGGGAACAAACTGTGTTACAACCAGGCCTTGGAGTACTCTACAACAATGAAAAAGCAAGATATCAATATACAGGATGACATGGATGAATCCTATGTGTACCATATGTGATTTTATGTGTATGACATTCTGGAAGAGACAAAAAAAAAGAGAGAAGAATACTGATAGAGATAGAGAAGAAATTGGTCACAAAGTGACATTGGGGGATTCTGGTGGTAGGGGGAGGTGTGGCAATTGTGATGTCAATTATATGACTACATATCTGTCAGAAGTAGTACTGCTTTGCAATAAAGAGAATTTTACTCTATTTTCGATCAAACCTGCATTTAACATTTTTCTTTAAATCTCTGGAGAGATCATATTTATAAAAGCCAAAACGAGGCCTAAGAGCTCTGCTGCCCAATTCAGAAGCCACTAGCCACGTGTGGTACTTGAACTTACACTCTAATCAAAATGACATAACAGCATACATTCCATTCCTCAGTGGCAGGAGCCTCATCGCAGATGCTCAGTAGCCGCCGATGTCTAATGGTTACTGTGTTGGTCAGGGCAGATAAAGAACAGCTCGGTCACTGTAGAAGGTTCCACTGAACTGTGCTGCCCTGAGAGTCTGGGAGTGGCTGGCACTTCTGTCCTCTCCTCCCTTTACTCTCTGAAATCTGAGAATCACACCGTGCAACATGTGCCCGACACATGATAACTGCGGCAGAAGACCCACAGAGAAAGGCAATGGGGTCACTCGCCACCTTAAGCCAAAGGGGTCCTTGCTTTGCCTGTGACTCTGGGTGAAAAGACACAGGCAGCAGAATACAGCCCCCAGCACAAGACAGGAGCCTAGGGAAGCCCCTCCCCCAGCAGAAGCTGAGTCTGAAGTCAGGAGACAAAGTCCAGAGGGAGAATCCTCAAAATGCAAAAGCAGCTGGCTCCCTCTAGTATCTCAGAAGACTTGGAGCTCCATAAATAGGTGGTGAATGATTGGAGAACTCGAACTCTTCTCTGCCTTCCCATCAACCCTTCCTTTTCCTGTCTGCTGGATCTCACATCCTGCTCCTTCTATATCATTCCCAGATCCTTCCTGTGTCCTCAATATTGCTTCCTGCCCATTCCCTGAGCCCCTAGGATTTCACATCACACTATGACGAGGACTCTGCCCCTCCTGAGAAGGACTGCATTTGTATATTGGTATATCACTGCAAAAGGCAGAAAAAGTGTGTGTGTGTGTGTGTGTGTGTGTGTGTGTGTGTGTGTAAGGCACAGGATAAATCATCCATGGACACACTCCCTTACCCATTACAGATCATCCTCTAAAAAAAACCTAAGAGAGATGAGCCTTGTTTCTTCAGCTTGCTTCCAACAGGCGAACTCATTTTTTATTTTACAGACATTCTGTCATTTAGAACTCGCACATATTTTTTAAAACACCAATTCAGGAAAAGATATGTCTGACTCGGACACCACAGGAAATGTGTTCAAACCAAAACATGGGGACATAAATGCTCTTGACAGAGTACGCTTGTGTGGGGGCTTAGGAAAAAAAAAATAGAAGTGAAGCGTTGTGTGTGATTCGTCTATTTCTGTGTGACAAATAACTCCCAAATTATTAAACTATAAACATGTGTCTTCTCACAGCTCCTGTGGATCAGTGTGGTAGCAGTGACTTAGC